CGGGGCTTAAAAAAAAAAAAAAAGTAATTGGGCCTAACAAATATGTACAACACTACAACTAAATAAAAGTGATATTGTAAAGTAAACTAACCCGAACCCGAGATTGATTTTGTTGCCATCGAATTTGAAGTTCCTCCGCCGTAGAAGATCGCACCCCGTCATATCGCTGTCGGAGAATCTCCATCCTCTTGTCAGAGACGGCTGTTCGGTAGAAAAGTTTGATCCCGATCTTCCATCTCCCAATTTCGCCTCGTTGGTGAAACAATTGCGTCATTTTGTTGCCCTAGATCGGAGAGAAGGCAGAATCGTCTTCACTGATCGACGTTAGGAATGGCTAGCGGAGGCGATGAGGACGCCGATACTGTCCTCAGCGATGTCGAGTCCGACGAACCAGCGGCTATTGTTAGAAAGGATCCGCCGCGAGAAGATGTGTCGGAGGAGAGGGTAAAGGAGCTAATCGCGGAGCTCGATCGCGAGAAGAAAGCTCGAGAAGCGGCTGAGAGTTCGAAATCGGAGCTTCAGGTTTCGTTCAATCGGTTGAAGTCTCTTGCTCACGAGGCAATCAGGAAGCGTGACGAGTCCAAGCGAGAACGAGAAGAAGCCTTGAAGGAAAAGGAGAATCTGGAGAATGTTAACAAAGGTAAGGATGAATTGATTGATGAGATTTCCAAGAAACTTGATGAAGCTGTGAGATCTAGAGATGGTTTGAGAGCAGAGATTGACAACTCTTCGCATATGTTGGTTTCTGGGATCGACAAGATATCTGGTAAAGTAAGCAGCTTTAAGAATTTTTCAAATGGAGGTCTCCCAAAGTCTCAGAAATACACAGGTTTGGCTTCTATAGCCTACGGAGTTATTAAGCGTACAAATGAAATTGTGGAGGAGCTCGTCAGGCAGATTGATACGACTGCAAAGTCGAGGAATGAAGCTAGGGAGCAGATGGACCAACGGAATTTTGAGATAGCCATTGAAGTTTCACAGTTGGAATCAACAATCAGTAATCTGCGATTGGAGGTTGCCGAGAAGGCTTCAATTGTTGATGATTTAGAGAGGGATGTGAGTGAGAAAGACAAGAGGAGTGCTCAACTTGAGAAAGATAATTCAGAGAAGGTAAGCGTACTGGAAGGGGAAGCTATGGAGCTGAAACGGTTGGTTGACGAGTATGATGGGAAGTTGAAAACTATGGAACTGAAGATGGTAGCTCAGCGTCCTTTGCTGATGGATCAGCTGAATCTTGTGTCAAGGATCCATGAACAGCTTTACAAGGTGGTGAGGATAGTTGATGGAAATAGTTCAGAACAATCAGACTTTTCTGAGTCTTTCTTTATGCCTCAAGAGACAGAGATGGAGGAGAACATTCGAGCTTCCTTGGCAGGTATGGAATCCATCTTCGAAATGACCAAAGTGGTTTCTGGGAAGACACAGAGTTTGGTGGAAGAGAAGAACCGGGAACTGAAGAATCTGAGTGAAACTGTGGGTCTATTAGTTAAGGAGAAGGAACATATTGGTACTTTATTGAGGAGTGCTTTGTCCAAAAGAATGATAGCGGAGCAGCCATCCCAAAAAAGCGAATTGTTTCAAGCTGCAGAGAATGGTTTGAGGGATGTTGGTATCGATTCCAAATTCAATCAACTCGTAAAGGATGGGAAGGTTCAGGACTCTCATAGTGACAATACTAATGATCATAGTAAAGAAGAGAATGAAATATATTCCCTGGTGAGTGATCCTTGAGGCTGATTATTTTTTTATGAACTTCGTTCATTTTGGTACCTTATGATGTCTCCACATTGGAATGCAGGCCAGCACACTGGAGAATATTGTCAAGGTATCTCAGCTTGAGATTGTTGAACTGCAGCATTCATTGGAGGAATCAAGGCAAGCTCTCTAAAACAACACTCCCTTACTTTTGTTGAGGGCCTCCACTTGGTTACGTGAGGAAAATAATTGCTTAGGTTTACCTCATAGCATCAGGTGGCTTAGGAACCATGAGTCAAAATCATTATCAGATCAAATCCAAATAGCAGGAATATGATTCCAAACAGCTTTCTATTGGGAACTTGAACTTCCACATGTGCTTACGACATCTTACTTGGTGTTTAACAAAACTACATGGAAGTAACGAGTTTAAATGCATCTATGTGGTTTCTTATGTAATGCATATATGTAATACTCCTAATTTTCCAGTGTAGTTTGGTGTCCACTGTGATCCTCTGCTTGCTTTTGTTGGCCCAACTTATGCAGACCTCTTGTTTTTGCATATATCAACTAGGGAAGAGACTAATTCTCTTAGGAAACAATTGGACACTCAGACAAAGGAGCTTAAACAGAGAATGCGCCAAATAGAAGAACTTAAAGAAAAGGAGAGAATAGCCAATGAAAATGTAAGCGAATTTTTGTTTGCTATTACTGTGAAGGCTGATTGTTTTGTGCATCATTTGTCTTTATATGAAGTATAATACTCTGTCCCAAGAGTTTGTTTATAATTTGGTTCCTTGGGATGATAGGTTGAAGGGCTTATGACCGACATTGCTGCTGCTGAAGAAGAAATAACAAGATGGAAAGTAGCAGCTGAGCAGGAGGCTGCTGCTGGTGGAGCTGTTGAACAAGACTTCACGTCGCAGGTGCATGATAAGTCCTTTTGTTTGGCTAGTGGAGGAGCATTATGATTATCCTAGATGTTTTCTAGTGCATTATAGCTGTGTTGACAACCTCAGCAACTGTAGTTGAGTCAGTTAGCTTACAGGTAAAAAGGAAGTTTAGGAGAATGAGTTGGGGTATTCAGGATTTGGCTAGGATCTGGGATTGGGAATTGGCCGAGAGTAGCATTAATCAAGTCTTACTTCTTGGATCCTATCAGTGTTCTCGGTTCTATTTATAGGTGTGTTTTTCCTGGGAACTAAGGAATGATAGTCTTAATTCATATTGGCTTTGTTTGTTCAGCTTTATGTGTTAAAAGAAGAACTTGAAGAGGCAAAGCAAGCAATTATAGAATCAGAGAAGAAACTAAAGTTTAAGGAAGAGACTGCTGCTGCAGCCATGGGTGCAAGGGATGCAGCAGAGAGATCGTTGAAGCTCGCAGACAATAGGGCGACTAAGTTGAGGGAACGAATACAAGAGCTAAACCGTAAAGTTGAAGAACTAGAAACGAGTCGAGATTTGAATACTTCAAACAGAGCTAGATATGTGTGTTGGCCATGGCAACTTCTTGGGATTGATTTTGTGGGAGGTCGAAGAATTGAATCGGGACAACAGAGTTCGAACGAGATGGAACTCGCTGAACCTCTACTATGAAAAATACCGGTGGTGTATACCAACCATACTCTCTGTATGTGTTTTTGATTTTTATACGTATATACTATCTGAAAAAAAGTTCAAAGCTTAAACAAGCTTTCATGTTGTAATGTTTGAAAGGAGTTCAGATGGTTCAGATGATGAATCTCTCGCATCAAAATCATATATGATACGCATTTTAAACAAACAGCCAATTCTCGCATATGATCCGGATTCTAGACGCGTTGAATCTGGTCTGCCATCCCTGCTTTAGCATTCTCCTAATCCACATTTTATTGTGAGCAAGAGCAAGCTCGAAGATGACCAAGGTAGCATTTTCATTTTCTTGGTTAAATGGTTACATATCAAAATGCTTTTATATGCGCCAACACTATGTGAACGTGACGCGTATCTACATCAACATATGGACAGAGCGGCAAAACGGTTTTGCAAATCACATTGGGATTGTGATAAAACTTCCTTGTACGGAGACGAGAGGAGAGTGTATGCAAAGGATGTTTCATGTAAATTCAGGACCGGCCCTAGGTTGAAGCCCATACGTTAGCCAGCAAATTATATTAAGAAATTAAAGGGCATCAAATTTAGAAAAGTGGCTTTGGTTCAGTGATTATCATGTCTTCATCAGTCTTTGATTGAGTCTTGATGTAGTCTCGAATTTTACCTCACACGTTTTTAACATCCTAATAGACTCAACTATCGCACGTTATTACAAGGTGACAACATGCATTAAAGTTCAAGTTCTGATAAAGTTCACTAAACTCCTTAACAAGCCTTTCGAACTA